ATTGAACATTGAACAGAATATAAAGTCGAATTGGTCAAGCAAAGCAAATAAAGTATCTGGGCTTTATAGTTGACAAAGCACTCAACTTTAAGGAACATATTATATGTACAATTGGCAAATTAACAAAAAGATTAATTTTTTGTATAGAGTGTCCGCGTTTTTGGCACAGTGGTCAAGGATGACGGTTTTCAATACTTTGGTGTTGCCCCACTTAGTGTATGGGTCAACTGTATTATACTTATCTCTGGCGAACAAGAATAAAATAAATAAATTACAAAAATTGCAAAAAAGAGCCATGAAGATAATTTTGGGAGAAAAAAGAGATACACTCATAAAATTAATGTTAGATAAGTTAAATTGGCTCTCTATAGAAATTTTTTTGAAATCTTAGGTGTTGGTGTTTATTTACAAAATAAAAAATGGGCTAGCGCCGAACTATTTGACTGATAGACTCGTCACTAACAATATGATTCATGAATATAATTCAGATCTCTAGGTCAGGATTTGGGAAAGCAGGGCTGGAACTCTGTAACGGATAGAGATCGTTATCCCTATCGCTATGGCACTTGCGGTCTTCTTCTCTCTTGTCGAAATAAATAGAGAGGAGACATCAATAGAGATAGAGAAAATATCTCTATTTGTTACAGAGTCCCTGCCCAGGCTGCTATAGAGCGGCGTACTTCTCTCTTATGGAGTCTTTGTTCTCCAGAAGCGGGCAGTGCGCTGTCTCTGTAAGAAAAGTTGTAGAGAATCGTGTAGACAACTGTTTGTGGATATACTTGGAAATACTAACAGTACCATCGTTATTCATATTAGAATCAGTGTGCCTAATCTTTAAAAAACATTCTCTGGGACCACTCAAGAAAGAAATTATGACCTTAGATACAATAATCATCCGCTTCCAATCCCAAAGTCTTCCTTAACGAAAAGTTCGGTGATTTATGGAAGCCTTAAAATTATACAATCATTCACCAGGAGAGTTAAAAAATATTCAAAATTATAGAATGTTTCAAAATTCTGTGAAAAGCCTTTCAGTGCCTAGAGCCCTCTACAGTATCGCTGAGTATTATAACACTGGATTTTAAATTTAAATCTAAACTTATGAATGTTGTCATTGTTATTGTTATTTGCATTTTCTATTTTATGATTTATATGTTTCATATTTTGTATTTTATATTTTATGTTTTATATATAATTTATATTATTTTGTATTTTATGGTTATGTTTTTTATACATAGGGCAATCCAACGACCTGTCAAAATGAAATTCAAAATGGAGGCAATGCCTTTTTTTTAAAAAAAAAAAAAATGGCGATTTTTGATTTGTATAAAGTCTGTAAAGTGTTGATTTTGTGGAAAATGCATACGTTATGTATTGTTCTTAGTTGTGGGAGCCGTTCTAATCGTGAGAAAGTCTAGTTTCATGCCGTTCCTGCAGAGACAAAACACAGGTTTTTAACGGAGAAAAATTATTTGTCTGTACTTTGTGAGGACTTCATATTGTAGCAAAAGAGAAAAAATCTTACGAAATCCATATTAAAAAACCAAAAAGTCTCTCTACATAAATGGTATATGGATCTAAGCCATTTACTTAACTATCCTCCACATCAGCTTGTGTCGATACCTTGAATAGCAGACAAATAAAATAAACACCAGGATTCAGGATTTGTTTAAGAAAAAACCAAACAGGAAACAAATTCTGGATAGTACCTACCTAATTGTTTAGCAGGTAAAGGTTTGACACAAAGAAATCATAATTTTTGCAAACATCCGGGTTTTCCACTAATAATTTTAATTTAACATTTTAAAATACGAAAATTATCCTTTCAAACACTAGAAAATCATCTAAAAACACCACAAAATACACAAAAAACAGTTTTTTGATGAAAAATGTCATGGTTGTTTGAATTAAATTTATGGCGCCAATTCTTTGGCATTGACCATGCATTGACCGCCATTTTGTTTGGATTGCCCTATTACATGTTAATGGCTACATGGCACCATCCACAGTGGTGATTGGATCAAGATTTTTGTGATTTTAGTTTATTTTTGTTTTTTATTCTTTAATAATATTATGACATAGTGTAATTTAGAATGGAAATTGCTTTGTCAGTGAGATAACATATTTCTGGATAATAAAGCTTATTTTGATTTGATTTGAATATCCAGCACGAAATAAGGATAATTTTAATGTTTAAAGGAAAAATAAAAGTTGTTCAGAAAGGGCAGTTTTAGGGTTGCCAACCCTCCCGATTTATGCGGGAGACTCCTGCTTTTTCACTAAACCTCCCGCCTCCCGCGCACTTAAACAAAACTCTCGCTTTTATACCCAAACGAGAAAACAGAACTGCTTAAACCTGATGAGAGCGTATCTAGCTCGTTCCTCGCTCGGGCCTCTTTGGTCTGAAGTCTGAAGGTACTGGTAATAGGTCCTGTTCTCAAAGAAATCACAAACCAGTAGTCAGAGCGTTTTTGATTGGTGCAAATCGCCAACGACCTTGGCCAAAAACCAGTTTTCTGACTATTTTCAACCAATGAAATTCGCTCTGACTGGTTTAAGATTTGTGTGTGAACAGACCTAGTGTATTAACGTATTATGACTATTGTGACGCTGACTGTAGATTGTAAAAGGGGTTTGAGTTTTTACTTTTTAGATTCTCTGCTTCAAGGTCCAGTTTATTTGTGAAAATTTTGCCGACAAAACTTTTTCTCTTGTGAGTATATGATAAAGTGTGGCAAAATTAGGGCGAGCCCTCCAAAAAAATTGACCGCGAAAACTTATTTTTTCCTCCCGAGTCCCATGCACTACCTCCGGCTTTTAATTTTTTTAAATTTGGCAACCCTAAGACTTGGTTGACCTCGAAAAACAGACTTCCTGTATTTGACATTTATATAAGGTACTAACTAGTTAAAAATATGCTCTGGCTAAAAAATTTCTGATTTGTCGGCTACGGGTGAAAAAGTTATCCATTTCCAAGCGTCTCTCTTGTGAATTATTTCCAAAATTGTCTATTATTTCTTTTTCATGATCTTCATTATCATCTGGGATGAGTGGAACGTTGTTTTCTACACAAATATTGTGGAGTATTGCACATGCCGTAACAATTTTACCAACTGTTATATAGGGGCATAGTGCAGTACTCTATCTTTGAGAAGGCACCTAAACCTGTTTTTAAACTCTCCAAAGGTCCTTTCAGTGAGCACTCTAATTTGCCTCATCCTCTCATTGAAACGAAAATTGGGTGTTCCTGGGGCTGGTTGGGGGAGGTAGAGGGTCATTAGCCAGGGTCTAACAGGATAGCCAGAGTCCCTTAAAAAAAATATGCAAGAATAAAAATTTTACATTTGGATTGTAAACTATCTCAGCAAGAATGTTTTACATTATAAAATTATTATCTAATGTACCTACCGTGCGTTCAATTTATCTCGATGATATTTTAATTCGCTGTAACTTTTTTGTTGTTGAGTTGAAAGCCTCCAATACTTCATGGAGACTACGACTTACTGATGGCTGGCTGATAGTTACAGCATGGTTTCTCCCTATATCAAGCTGGTAACTTCCACCAGCAAAAAATCTAAGAGTTGACAAAATCTGAAAAAAAAAAACACATTTTCCCTGTCAATGAGATCCAGACTAGTAAAATCTTGAACAAAAAATTTAGCATAAAAACAACAAGTGAGCCTAATTTACATGTCCCATTTGAAACAATTAATATCCACCCAAATGCAAAAGTATTAAAAGATAAAGTTAAAAGTGGGTATGACCATTAAGAAAGTATGAAGTAAGGCAGAAATACATACATTTTGTTGATATTTAATCATAAAGCCGGTTTTTCACTGATGCATTTTGTCGCCTTCAAGAAATTGGCAATCAAAATGCATAGACAGGGTCTTCTCTTACCTCATACTTCTTGCTGCTTAAATCACAGAGCCCTAGATAAGCCCTTACATTCCTATTGAGTCTTCATTATCATAGAATGACATAGAATAACTAATGCCCACCTACCTTGAGTCTATTGCTTAAAGCATCCTGTCTTCTCCTTATCGGAAGAAATCTCGGAAGAAATGGTTCAAGCATCTCTTCTAAATTTGTAACATCTTGTTTTCGAAGCCTATACATCTTCATGAAATTTTTGTCCGAAAATTGCAAGGGGTCATCAGCAGAATTCTCCCAATATATGGTACCGCCATTGTAAATGAAACACAAATGAATGTGTATTTATTAATTATTGCTATAATTATTTTACGTCATACGCTGTCACTAAGCAAAACGGCTACCAAATGGTAGACGTTTTCAGGACGCTTACCGTGCGCTTTGCGCGCCTAAGGTATGCACAGCGAAAAACACATCTGAATACCAATTTTGCTGATTCGGTCAAGTGCTTTGCGAATTCGACGACTTAAAAGGCTCAACGTGAACGAAACGCTAAGCGAATTAAGTTACGAGAATAGGGGTCAATAGGTCAATCGATTCAGGATTCTGACAGACCGTTCAAATAAAAATACCTAAAAAAAAATTTTAGGAGTGTTTTTTGAACGACTTTTGGGTTAAAATTTGGGTTAGTTTGGGTAACCCAAAAAAAAAAAAATCGCCTCCGGCGGGGGCTTATAATGGGCCTGCAGGGATTTTGGCACACAGGCCCAGAGCTGGGTTGATACGCCACTGCTGCAAACAATGGGCTTGTACAACAGAGATATGAGCTGCAGACTATGCAGAACAGAGACTGAAACGGAACAGCCCAACATATTATATCAGAATGCGATGCACTAACTCGCAGAGGACAAAAAAATATATTTGGTGAATATGAACTAGATCCAGACACATACAGCAAACATCCAACAGAATTACTTCGCTTACTGCAGGGAACCAGGGTTTTGGAATGGGTGCAGTAAACAGGAAGATTAAGCACAATTAGTCTCCGGCTGCAGCGCTACTCAGAGTTTAAGCAGACGACTTCCCCACCAAAAAAAAAAAAAAATGGATCTAATGAAATAAAACACCATTTAAAACTGAAAATATGAACTTATATTTATTTTAAATTATCAGTATAGCATATAGCATACAACACAGTTTTGAAAGTCGAACATATTTTTAACTAAAACAAATTGAAATAAAAAAAAATATATATCAATGCTAGTCATTCGATTCGATTGAGCTTTAATTTTTCCATAAATCAAGTCGGTTGAGTTTTGATTGGTCAGAGATTACAACCAAAAATTGTCTGAGTTTTTTGTTAAATTTAATTTAGAAATATGGTCCAACAATTTTACAAAGCGTAGTTTAAGAGTTAAGTGGCCTTAAAAAAATACAAAACACTACCATAATCATGTTTATAAATGTGGTTTTTAGAGTTTTTCTATTCAGTGGGAGTGCACTGAAATGATTTTGGTCATTAGATGTGCGCAAGTTTTGATTTTACAAGTTGATAAAAACAATTTCGACTGATTTTGAGCATTGCTTCAAGCTACACTCCCAAATTTATGATTTAAATGAAATTGCTATATTTTTAAGAAACGTGGAATGGATATAATAATAATCAATGAATAAATGCACTACTTATGTATTATTACGCACTAGGATACATTAATTAATATTTTTTCATACATATATTAAAGACTGCACTAACATGTAAACTGCTCACACAAGCAACAATTTTGTCCCAATAAAAATTGCCTTATGTATGAATAATTATTGTTATTATTATTAAAAAAAAGAACTTTATACAGCCACGTGATGATGTTGGACTTTTTTCTTTTAAGGCTGAATAAAGCTCCTTTGCCAGACATACAATGCTTACATTAAACCTAGCTAAAATATTTATACAAACAATAATAATGTTTAACTAGCAGAGTTAATATAAAAATTTTCTTTTATTAAAAAACTGTCCTTTATATTCAATTAAGAAAAAGCTAAAATATTAAATTCTATATTATATGCTGATGGAAAGAGTATTGAATAATTATTAAGAGTGAATGAGAAGATTATTTCACCAAAATGATGGCACTATTATGATTCAAATCTACTACTCCTCAATAAAATATAGATCCATTAACTTACAAACTAAAATGTTGCACATAAATCAGACAAATAAAATAAAACAGGAGAGAGAAGAAACTATATCATAAAAAAAATTGAGAATTTTGAATTTTGCCTTTGGCAGAGGCAAAAAAGATCAATCCGCTTATTTCGCAGCTTCCTTCTCTTTATTTTCTTCAGATTCCTTTTGTGCCGCTTTGTCCTTTTCTTGTGCCTCCTCCTAAAAAAAAATTATATAATTTCAGTATATAATAATTTGCTCGAATTTACCTTCTCTTTTTCGATGTCTTTGTCTTCAGGCTCCTTTTCCTTGTCACCTTCTTTCTCATCCTTGGCGGCCTCCTTATCATCCTTGGCTTCTGGCACTGGCTTGGGAAGGTGCGAGTTCAAGTCCAGTGTGCTATAATCACAAAATTAGACTCTAACTATGCTTATATTACAAAAATATATGTTTCAGAAGCAGAAACTATTATATGGATTTATTCACTGTTCATGGCCCCAAAATTTGAGTTTTTTAGAATTTTTTTGCAGAATTGAATGTAAGTTTTTAAGAGTTTCTACAATTTGTAATAATCGGAACTGCCTGAGCAGAGATTCTATCAAATGAAGGGAATAATGTTTCAATTAGTTTGGAACAATTTGGAAATTTGTCACAACTCCTTTCAATCTAACTTGAGATTCACATGTTGGGTTCTAGGGTTTGCAAATTGTGGACAATTAATTGAAAAACACTTCTACATTAAAGAATGAAGCCTTTCACGTCTGGTCAAATCTAGTAAAAAAGTTTTTTCCGGGTTATAATGCCGTGGTTGAGTAATATTTCTACCTAACGTTTCGTCTACTAGTGCGGTAGACATCTTCAGAGGTGGTATGGTAGAGGACGAACTGTTCTCTTCCGTGTTCCTCCGATTACTGGATTTGACATTGTTGGACCTGTGTTATTTATATCCAGGGTTGTGGGCGTGGCTTGTATTACGATATTTTTTCTTCAGTCATATGAATAAAGTGTAGCAAATGCTTTTACTCTACCTCCATCTCTTTTTGCTGCATTAAAGCTGAATATGTTTATCTCAAAAAATGTAAGTAAAAGCATTAATATGTTTCTGTTTTATTCATATGAGCTTGCGTCTCGTTCTTGGAAAGGAAGGGTTTGTGTTAACACGTGTTCGGCGATTGCTGATCTATCTTTTTGTCCCTGATGACAGTTTCTTTTGTGCTCTTTGACCCTGGTGTCGATAGAGCGTTTGGTTGTTCCTACATAGACAGATCCACAAGAGCAAGGAATTCTATAGACGCCAGCCGTTTCAAGAGGTGCTGCCCTAGGATCCTTGGCCGATCTTAGAGTTTGCTGAATTGTTCTTGTGGGGTTGTAGATGGGCTTAATGTTGTGTTTTTCTAGCGTTTGTCCTATGCGATCTGTGACATTTTTAATGTAGGGAAGGAAGGCTGTCCCTGCCACATGTGCTGGCTCCTTATCAGTTGTGTGCTGTTGCTTCGGTATTATTATAGCTCTATTTATTTCCTGTTTGGAGTACCCATTTCCTTCAAGCTTCAAGTGCTGATTTTAGGTGTTGCATCTCGTCCTGAAGGTATCTGGGTTCACAAATCGGGATTGTTCTGTCAGATAATGTTTTAATGACTCCCCTCTTTTGCCTAAGATGGCGAGTGGATTCCTTGTTGAGGTATCTGTCTGTATATATGCGTCAGCTTCCTATATTCTCTGTGTCTCAGTTTCCCCGAGGGTAATCTTTCTAAGAGGACGTCGAGGAATGCAATTTTGTCGTCCTTCTTAACTTCCATCGTAAACTGTATCCTGGGTTCTATTGAATTAAGATATCAAGGAAGTTTTCGAGCTCTGCCGGTCCCTGGTTCCAAACAACAAAAATGTCATCTACATAGCGAAACCAACAAGTGGGTTTCTTTGTGGCCGTTCGCAGCGCCATTTGTTCAAAGTGTTCCTTCCATGTAGAAGTTGGCGATAACCGGGCTGAGTGGACTCCCCATTACGACTCCATCTGTCTGCTCAAAGAATTTATTTTGCCATTGAAAGTGCGTAGTCGTTAGACAGTGGTGAAATAAGTTTTTATTTTATTTTTTTATTTATTTATTCACGGGATAACCCCATTCACAGTATACAATTAACAAAATTGTTATAAAAAATAGATTGAATTATTGCCTACAAGAATACTCAATATATACTCAATTAATCTTAAAATTTAATTTCAACCTACAACCTATTCAAGCTCTTCTTGAACCTGCATAGCGAGATATAAAATATTTTCAGATGGTGAAAATTTATGAGTCTACAATACCTATCAACTGGAGAATTAAAGCCATAGTTTGCTCTATGGAATGGAATGTAGAAGGAAGAGAATTCTTGCCTTCTATTTCTTATAGCTATTTCAAATTAAGTTGTATCACCAAATAACTATAATTATGGTCCTGAATTGCCACCCTTAAATTAAACGCGCAAAAACGTAAGAACCTGTGCTGAACTTTTTCCACCGCATATTGCTGAGTATCCTGATATGCAGACCACATCACATCATTGAGGCATACTCCAGCGTTGACTGTACTAATAAGCAATAAATTACCTTTAAAAAACTTAACTGACAACATTTAGATAAGTTTATGTTTAATTTATGGACTGAACACCAATTTGTCAATCTATCCAAATCGTCCTGTAACAATTGTTGGTTTTCCATATCATTTATAGTCCTAAAAACTTTCAAATCATCAGCAAAAGCTAGTCCAACACTATTTTGAAAACAATCGAATTGACAAATAGGACGAAAAATAAGGGTGAACGTGTCCCTTCTGCGGGACTCCTGAGGTAACAGTGATTGTGCCAGACTGAAAAGAACCTACTTTTACTGGTTGATGATGTCCTGTTAAAAAACTTTTGATCCAGTCTACTGCATCTGCGCCGAACCCCATAGCAAAAAGACTTTCAAGAAAAATACAGTGGTCTACCCTATCAAACGCATTGGAAAAATCTGTGTAAATGGCATCAACATGTTCAAAATCCTCCAAGGCATTGATTATTTTGTTTTGAAAACAGCTGAACGCCCTGCACAAAAACCGTGTTGAATTTGGTTGATTAGGCCTCGGCACAGCCACTTTAGCTGGTCACTCACTAAGCTATCAAATAATTTAGGAATGGATGACTGAATGCACACACATCTATAGTTGGCTACGTTACTCCTATCTCCACTTTTAAAAATCGGCACTTTAAAACTATGCTTCCAAATGTTGTGGATACTAGTGATTTGTTAAATAATAAGTGTAAAGGAATCACTAGAGTGCAAATGCACTGCTTCAATAAACTATTTGGAATCCCATCAGAACCCAGTGTATCCTTGTTTGGTAAGCGAGCTATCTTATTATAAATGTCCTCTCTAGAAATGTGTGCAAGCCTGAAATTCCCCGAAATATTCAACGCAGTTCCCAAGTCCAGCGAATCATCCAGGTCCTCTGGGGTATAAACAGTCTCAAAGTATTTTTTAAATAGTGGAACAATATCTTGACCATTGTCAGCTCTATTCTCTCCCAAATTAATAATTTGGGGAATGCCATTATTTGACTTCAAATCTCTTATATACTTCCAAAAGTATTTTGGATTAGTTTTAAATTCAGTATCCACTTTTGACATATACTGAGACCAGCAGATGTTACGACACCGTTTACACTCCGACCTCAACCTGGAAAACTCAGCATAGTCCAAAGCAGACTTAGACTCCATATAGGTTATATGTATGTTTCTCTTTTGAATCGTAAGATATTTCAACTCTGGTGGAAACCATTCAGGAAAAGAGCCAGACTTGAACTTCCTGACAGGTACAAAATACCTATACCTAAAGTCTCATAAAGGGTCACTAGAGCTAAATTAATACCTAAATTTTGCAAGCACTGCTCCCAGTTAACACCACCCAAAAAATTGTTTAAACCCAAAAAGTTAGCATTTTTAAAGTCATAGTAGAAGTCCTCACAATGTAGACTATCATTCATCTGCCTTCCGTACAGGATCCTCATAATTTGTAACTAAGATGATGCAAACTATCATCAAAAATTGGGTCACTAGCTATAATTATATTTACACTTTCATCATTTGTAAAAATATGTCTCTTAGGCATTAGGTATAGTTATATTTTCGAAAAGCTGTAACTATCCAAAAGACTGAGCAACATGCACTGCCGATGAAGATGCTGGAAATTCAACCTGCACTCCACATTCCTCATTGGACAAGAGAGCCTCTGGGAGATTGTAATCACCGAAAATATAGATCTTCTGAAATTCATAGTTTTGGAAAATACTTTCCACTGCCTCGCAATATGTATTATGTTATAGTAAATTTCAGGCATACTTGGCAGAATATAGACACCCCCTATTATTAATTTGAATCCCTTCAGCTCACCCAAACCAAAAATTCTCCACATTTTGCTGAGTTACTCTAACCCTTAAAGACTTAATTGACTTTTTCGTGTAGATAAGCACACCTCCACCGCTAGATTTATGGCTAGTTAGTTCGGATTGATCACTCCGATAAAGATTATATTAAAGCAAACTAATTCACTATCCAAGTTACTTTCGACCAGAATTATTATATCATACATAGAGCAGCCAACTTTAGACTTTCAATTTTTGTATGTAAACCCCCTACATTCTGATAATATACTGCGAATGGGGATCGTTCTAGTTTCCCTGAGATTGTGTGTTGTGTTCAGTCACAATTTTAGCCACTCCCAGCATATATTTGATCATTATGTCTTCCCCATTATCCTTCCTTCACACAAGCTCTTCCCTGACTGCTTTATATGCATCTTGTTGCATATTGGTTCAATCGTAAGCTATTTTATAAGAACAGCGATTTGTTCTCAATGTAGCTTTTGCTCACAATGCTTGCTGAACAATGTCTGGATTAGTGCATATAATCTTTACTGGTCTAAACTTCCCGTCAGTCTTTCCCTTGCCAACTCGAATGACATTTTGTATCAAATTGATCTCCGACTGATAACCCAGCTTGGTAAAAATATGCTGAGCTATGTTGGTAGCGTGCTTAATTTTGTCTGGTATATTGTTTTCGGAAGATTTTGGGACATCAAACACCATAAGATTTTTTGACCTTACGGATCTCTCATGGGCCTCCATTAAAATTTGATCAACATTTGGGGTTGGTTCGATTTAAGCTGCTCTATGTGTTTTTTTTAATTTAGTAATCTCTTCCTGCAGCTCCTGCACTCTGCGAATCACCATAGGTGCCGACTTGAATGCATTTCTACAGTCAACACAAAGATATAGGATTTTTACGTTATATTTAGGATGACGTCACATTTAGTAAATTTTTGCTGCCAACCTAACAAAACTGATAGTACTTTCTAACGCATTTAAAGTAGGGGAATTTTTGATGTTTTGGGTTGGCAGCGGCGCGCGACGTTGCATGACTTGTACAAACATTTTCATTTCGGTATTTTTACCTGTCGTTAGAATTATTAACACATGACATTCTGGTAAATTATAAGAAAAAAAATAGACATTCACAACATTGTCTGTCCTTGTTCGATGACGTCATCCTAAATATAACATAAAAAACCTTTAAAAAACCTATACATAAGTGTTCTTTTCTGGAGCATGAAGGCCCTAATTTCAGAGGCAGACAGCCCTGAACATGCTTCCGTCATGTGAAAGACTACTCTACAGCAGTCGCAAAATAATTTATGTTTTTCTTCATCTATTGAAATCTTGCACTTTGAACAATGCATTTTTAACCTCACTCTCGAAAGTTGTTGATTTCATCTAGAAAAACATATTTCAGATACCTACTCTAAGGATTCACCAGTAAAAAACAACGGGAGACGACATCAAAACTAACCAGAATAACTTTTGGTAGTAGAGTGATGTCACTGATCTTTTTGATAAAATGAGGGGAGTCTTTAACATAAGAGCTCAATTGGGCAATCCGTGGCTGAAGGAGAGTGCTAAAGTATTTGGCTATGCTGTATGTGGGCAAATCTATTGCACTTAAAATGGGTCTGAGTGGGTCAATTGTTTGGGAAGACCTAGCAGCTCTGGACAAGGATCTTTTATCGATTATACAACTCACTGTACATTATTCCCATATGACACGAGAGGCTTAATAAATGATAAGCCTTTTGGGATTATCGCGCTTAATGGCAATATTGATCATTTGCTATTAATAATAATAAAAAATTAATAAAGTTTAGTTCGTTGTATAACCTTCTGAATATCACTCGATGTTTCAGGATTACCTAATACTTTTAGCTGACACTCAACGCGTTACCAGCAACAACACTCCTCCTTCGGAGTCGTGGTGTTGCTGCGTAACGCGTTTCGTGACAGGTAAAAGTATTATCCGGTAATCCTGAAACCTCTTGTGGTATTACATTCGATAATCCAACAGCATGCATTGGAGTGACTGGGACAAAATTGACCGGATGACGTATAAAGTGATGGAAGCCACACTAGCAAAAACAACCAAGAAACTGGTAAATAACTTTGAGTCCTTGAAACTATAGAACACTGCGAAACCCACAGGCAATGATCGCGCAGTTGTCAACCTGACCCAACGGGTTCTGACTGATTCGGAAACCAGTGTTCTGAGAAAAGGAGGCAATTTTGCAATAACACCGAAAGACCTGTCATTCGAAGATATCATAGCAAATGTGGATCTAGGATTCTAAGACTAGAGAAACCTTCAAAGTGCAATCTGATATACAAGGAAAGGAAAGCCATTCGCAGCCTGAATACAGACAAGAACATACTAGTCCTGACTGCGGATAAAAGAAACGCAACGGTAATCATGAACGTGACTGACTATGAATCAAGAATATCCGAACTCCTAGACCCCTCCACCTACAGAAAGCTGAAGCGCAATCCCACTGCTTCTATATTGCGAAAAACCAATCAACTCATCCGAGCATTACCGTTGGACCCGGAAAAACGTAAGGAAGCTCATCAAATCTGAGGCCTTACCACATAAAATATATATAACAAATCATGTCATTCGTTTCGACCAGATTCAAGAATTGAATAGGAGCAAACATTTTTACACCAGGCTCCAGCGAGAAGCCATAGAGATACAGCAACACCACAATAATTTCAACAGAAAAGAAGAGGGCATGAATCTTAACAAAAGCTGGTTGCCAGTTCTCCTAAAAAAAGACCCTTCCTCTCCGATAACGAGACAAGGAAAATAGCGTAATACAAGCCACGCCGGAGGAACACGGAAGAGAACACTTCGTCCCTTACCACACTTCTACATTGTTCTAACCTAACATTTTCCCATAAACTTTAGTCAAAATAGCCTTAAGAAAAACTTTGAAAAGTACTTAGGTATTGAAATCTACTGTGTAAAAACATTGATGGGTGATTACGTATTTATTAAGTTTTTTTTGGCTAGACTCCGTTCATCTATCAAAATATCTTTTTACCTGCAAATATCATCCCAATCAGCAAAGCAACGTTCCTTCATCCTGTTCACGTGTCCAACCAGGTTGGGACAAGATTCAGTCATGTAGTCACGAATCACCCACTCAACTTCTTTGTCCAAGAAGTAGATTTGAGCTAGGTGGGCAAAGACTACAACATCGAGCTGAAAATAAACAATTAACAAAATGGTTCTCGAACTTCAAGTTATTCGCTTACGCTTGTTGGTTCATCGCCAAAAAAGAATGGCTTATCGGCCAACATATCAGAGAGGACCTTGAGATCCTCCTGTCCAAACTGGATAATTTCCTCAGGGGTGTGGACACCGATGCCATGAGCTTTGGCCTTTTTAGTACCCTGGAACCACTAAGTTATCAATATTAAGTTAAAAACGAAACTAAGAACACAAAACACTGGAAGGGAACATGCGTTAAAAAAATTAAATCTAATCATAAATTATCTTCAACCAAAAGTGCGTTTAATGTTTAAATTAAGAACCCAATTCCAAAACCAAAAGGTAATGACAAGGACAAAGTGATTTTAGTTACAAAGAAATATTCAACTATTGTTCTGCCTCTAAGTTTCTATCTACTTCTGACATCACATTAGAAAAAAAACGTCACCTAGCCAATCAGAAAAATCTAAGAAAATCATGCAGATCAATTTTTGCACTTATTATAAACGCCTTTTATGTGTAACAAGATTTATCTTACCTTTCTTCCATAAGCGAATTTGAAGAAGAAGTTCAAAATTCCATTGGGTATTCTGGTACCAAGAGCGTGTTGAAGATTGACTTTGTAACCTTTGAGTACGCTGTCAGGGTATTTGGAACGCCACCTAGAAAGATACAAATTAGGTAAATAAAAAAAGGCACAATAAAAATATTAATATTTATTGCCAAGTCCAAAAAGCGATTTATTTTTAAAGGACATTACGAACTTTATGAGCTACAAGCAACTTGCATGGAGTTTATTGGCTGTCTACATTGTGCCTCATAAAATTTTAGGGTGACTATCCATAACTGTTGGATTATGGCATTTCATATAAAAAAAAAATAGAATTGATAGCTAAACCAAGTCCTAAAGCTGGAAAGTGTCTACTCTTTAAAATGAAGGGCCATGTAATCCAAATTTATTGGATAGTATAAGTCAATGTAAATATGAAATACAAATATTATTGGGTAAGATAATTAAGTATTTTTCACTTGCCTCTATATTATCAAGATGTTGGCAGTCAAAAGATTATTGTTAATATAAATTTCAACTACTTAATTCATTAATACTGTTTGCATACAAAAGCGGTGTTATGATACACAGATGTATTAATAATTAAAAAGTTGACATGCATTTTTCCACGCTCTAGCGACATTGTGGAATGCTTTGCTAATTAAATATAAGAATAAATGAATGATTATCACTCACCACATAACGACCCAAGCAAGATGGTTCTCGATCATGCTGGTAGTGGCATGGGCCAAATTGCGTTGTTCGGGGGTCAAAGCCGCGTCCAAATCGTTATTGAATTTCTGACTCATTTCCTTAATGATCAGAGCACTATCAGCAATTTCTTCTCCATTTAGTTCGATGAAGGGTAAAAGACCTTTTTTGGATCGGTATTTCATTTTGTGGTCAACATTCTGAAAAGAAAAAGAAAAACATTAATAAATATTGATCTCTATTTAATTATGTATACGTTAATATATTATTTCTTCCCTTAATTAAACCAAGGCGTAAATATATGTAATTATTCATCAGAATTTAATTTGCAAAAATTATTCTGTGTCGAGAATCTTAATTATTTAACGATGTTTCCACTGCAACTGAATTAAAAATATCTGTGCCATTTTGTAGTTTTTTTTTTTATGTTAATTTATTAATTATTTTAATTAGGCACGCAATTAAATTCTTCCACAGCAACATCTGGTAAAAGGGAAAAGAAGCCAAGTTTGTATTCCTGGAAAACATTTTTGTGGAGAAGCCATTAATTTTGGTTTTACAAGGATTCTTTAAAGTTATAAACCCCACAAGTTAATTACTAAATAAGTTAATGACCACTTTTAAAGCGAAAGCTAAAATATGAGCCATTTAATTGCAGTATAGTGATCAGGTAATGCAAACATCCTTTTCTTTCGTCTCTCGACACCTAGGAGTAGCGATTAATGACTGTTGGAAATGTGTTCGACATATGGGAGATGTCTCGCTGTTAAAAAAAAATCAAGAGTCTTGGGGTTTATGCATGTAGTAAGCTACTTTGGCTGTAAATTGTCAGAGAAGTAATAAATATGCCTGGTGGCTTATAAATATTTGCATAAATCAGTTGTGAACTAACAAACATGGGTAAGAATGGCTTCATAGAAATATTGATTTCTAGGCTACAGGAAATCCTGCTTATAGCTCGTTTAATGGTACTGAAACCGAGAAGAAGCTTATCATGCAGGACAAGCCTCAATAAAGGAAAATAATAAATCAGCTTGAATTTTATCATGGCAATCAATCAGCCACGCTTTGATAATAACTTCAGAAGAATTTACCATCGCCATTCGAATACCTACTGGTGTGCTTGCAATAATAACTAGGCGTACCTACGTAAACCTGACCTCTCCCAATGCGTTTTAGAAATTATTACGCCTATATTTAACATTTTCTAACGGTAAAATTATCTGATTTCAGTGTTCGTAATTAGCATTTCAGTATAATCTGGTGGCAATTGACGATAAGGCGATAGCAATACTTTTGCTCATATTGAGTAACTTGGGCGGCAGGTCAATCTGGATCATTGTTAAACTTCAAGATACTAGAGATCTTTCATTGTAACATTTTTATACTTATGTACCAATAAATGGGTGATTTTCCCTATCATTAAACACCTTGAGAAAGCATCTTTTATCTTCTATATCGTCTAAATTCATTCTCTTCGTTCAGTACTAAACATTTCATTGATCAATATCATCATTGGTTTATAAGGTTCTCAAATGGCTTCCGGTTTCCAATCTGTTCTTGAATTCTTTTCTGTTCTCAGAGCGAGTATATCCTAGCTGATTTCGGCATCTGTCTGTTCTCTTCCAGCTTTTTAGTGGTCGTCCCCTTTGTCTCATGCCCTGCAGCAGATTGACTTAGACTTTTGTCGATATGGAAGGTGACAGAAGAAATGAAATGGGCATTTAGAAGATGAAGATAGATAGAAATCATAGCGAGGGTCAACCACTCATGTAAAAATGTAAAGATTTCCAGTTTCTGGGAATACTTCTCGAATTTGGACAGTATTTCTAAGTATTCCTTGGTATTTCCAAGTATTGCGCGGTACTTCCAAGTATTTCTAAATATTCCTAGATATTTCCAAAAACTAAATTGTATTTTCAAATTTTGTTAAGTATAACCTTAGGTATTTCCAAGCATTTTCAACAAATAAAAATGTTTCAATGTCCTAATTATTAATTTTAAAGTCCAACATATTGTTATAGTACTTAATCTTAACATAATATGCCAACTGTAGGCTTGAGGTAATGGAAAATTAGGGTCGAAATCAAATTCGAAGGACATTTAAGTACCTTTGAGTGTCCTTCAAATGAAAATAGGAATAGTTTCCTCTATTACATTCTCATGAAGAGAGGATTTTTGCCTTAGATTTTGCAGATTGATCAAATCTTTTGTCTTTTTGTGTTTTGATTTGTTGGTTTGGTATGAGTTCTTTTCGTTTGCGCACCTCTAACTCGTAACCGAGCTCGTCACTTGATAGAGGAACTTTTTCATTGGAAAAGAACCACCAAAGTGTAGATTTCTTGATTTTAATTTTTTTCCTATGTTACCAACCAATGACGTCTGTCTCTTGCATGGCCTAGCCAAACGAAAAATAAAAATATTCCAGAAAATAATATGTCATTATCGAGTAAATTATAGCTCTGATCCAACCGAAATGAGAAGCGTTCTAGAATGGTTGCCCACCTATTTTTCAATAAGTTGAACGTTTATCCTAATTGACAAATGAATTGATCGACTGGCAATCACCGTTTTAGAACGGTTCTGCATGTCGGTTGGAACAGACCTTACATTAGAATATCTCGAAAAACTAAAATCGAACAACGATGCATCTTGGAGCATCGTACTGTTTGGGTTTATCAATATTATTAAATTTATCAAGTTCAGATAAAGAAATGGTTATTATTTTTTTTATTTTGTTCAATTTTGCTTGTAGGCACTTTAATACCCGAGTAAATACCGTTAATTCCATGGCCAACTCACGTTTTCAAGGGTTGGTTTACGTCACACATATACACAGGGTGTCCCTTTGAAAAATACTTAGTTTGGGCTAAATCCAGAAAACGATTTGCCTAAAACAAAATTTGACTAAAACACTGGATTCTACGTAAAAATATCTATCCATAGCAGTTTTCAGCTTTTCTCTATCTAGGGTGTTCGAAATACAATGATACCACCGAAAAGCGCAAAATTTCTATTTCACCCTGTATCCTGGGAGCGAAACAAGGTGGCACAATCCTGTTTACGGCATTCGAAGTTTCACGAAAAACTGTTCTATCGCTGCTGGTTACTGAGAAACCCCCTGATTACAAGCAATTTGGAATACAGTCTACAGGGTGGTCGACACGGAGGTTGGTTTAAGAGAGGCCTAGATATACCTTTATAAATTCCTGAGTAAATTCTTCATAAATTTGAGATATACATTAAAAGTGAGGTTGGAAGTTATGGAAATTTACAAGTAGGTAGTTCCATGTATTTCCAAATTATTCCCATGTACTTCCAGAGTATTCCTATGTACTTCCAGAGTATTCCTATGTACTTCCAGAGTATTCCTATGTAGTTCCAGAGTATTTCCAAGTATTCCTAGGTATTCCCAGAGTAGAGTATTACTAAGTATTTCTAGGTATTCCCAAAGTATTCCCAGCAAAGTGTAGAGTGATTTCCATGAGTGATTTACCCCTCGGATCATAGTATGAACACAAACGAAAAATGAATAACCCCAGAGACAATTATTACTTCTACCCTCATTGATGATAATGACATTGCATAAGATATAATAATGCTTAGTTGACAAATATTTTTGCAGATATTTTAGAAAACTAGCTAGCCGATAGCCGAATGATCTTGAATTCTTGTTGAAGCAAACTAAGTAAATCCTTTACAACCCGGCAACGTTGCCCCAGTCAAATATCCAATACCGGGTAGCTGGGCTGGGACGAGGGACGAAGAGAAGAGATCGACCGTTGCCATAACAACAGGGGTGAATTCCAGACGCCCTTAGAGCGGGGGTGCAACACTCTCTGCTCGCTCTGGAAAGATTCGTAAGCGCGCAACAAAAACGACGGCAATCGGAATATTTTAATGTAATCGGACAGATCACACCCAGTAAATACAGTTTTTTTTTTTCTAACAGCTATAGGGGAGGCTTGGGTTGGTCACGTGACCTCAGAGTGCATGTGCACTACTACTCAATTAAAATATATTTTCATTTGCGTGCTCACATACGTGCCCAGAGGAGGGGGCCACACCCTAAAACTGAAATAGTGCATACTAACAAGCTATAAGAGGGTATTGGTTCCTTTTGTAGGGGCTTGTATTTTTTCCAATAAACCTTTGAAGATGAAAACTATAAAGGGGAAAAAATTAGATTTGATGAGGAAATTATTCACTGAATGAGTTCTCACAATTATCAATTAGAAAAAAAAACTACACTTTTTTGGACTTGTCTCTAGTAGTGATGTGCCGAAGGGAACGTTCCCTAGAGAACGTTCCCATTCCCAGGAAACGTTCCGGGAACTTTCCTTTAAGGTCGGGAAAGTAAACAAAAACTGGGAATGTTTTTGAAAAAACAAAATTGAATGATATTTTATAGTCTAATAACCTACTACACCAAAAAAACTAAATGATAACGATGAAGTGGGCAAACCCGAAACCCTTGGTGAAACCAGCTCTTCCAATTCGCCGGACTATAGTAGTAACGAGTTAGACTCGGACAATTAGGTCCTTCCTTCTAGATTAAATAACAAGCGTAAAGCGCAACAATTAACAAGTTGTCTTTTTTTTGTTAGCACTTCGAGATTTTCAAGGTTTAGTACAATATTTAGTTTTTTTCAGGGTAAAATATTTAGTTTTTCTTACTACTAGGTAGAAAATAAAATGTAGTTTTTATTTTTTTTATTACTTAATATGTGTGTGCGTTTATTCTAATAGTTACAATGTTCAATATTGCAGTACACAGTAGTAATGTAGTAATGTTTATAAGTTTTTTCACTGATCTTAAGAGTCAAGAGTACAAAGACATAGGTATAAATATTTTTTTCTAATACCGTGCGTAAAGTACTCACCTTACGCACTATTCAGAAGACGTAAAATTCCACTTCACGCACTAGTGCGTAAAGTAATTCACTTCACACACTGGGGCGTAAAGTAATGTCAATGACAGATGTTGACACTGTCACGAGTATTTTTCTGGTAAATTACTTCACGCACTAGTGCGTAAAGTGAAAATACTTCACGTACTAGTTCGTAAAGTATTTGTCTAAATCTATTTTTTCACACATATTTGATTGGTAGTGGAAAAAATTTTGTATGCAATACGTGCGTAAAGCACCTTTTTTCACTCATGTGATTGTCGCACTCGCCTTCGGCTTGTGCGTCAAAA